ATTCACCCACAAGTCACGAGAAAGCACTGTCGATAGTCGTGTTCACTTTGTTCATGGATAAACTGCCGAACAGTCTGTACCATGGACAACGCGAAAAGAGGAAAGTGTCTCTCAACTTCTCTTCAGCCTTCAACACAGTACTGAGGAATCAACTGTTGAACTTGCATCGGTTCAGAAAATTGAATACTGAAAACGATGTTTAATCACATAAGTGAAGACACATCCCTGGTGAACTCCGCTGAGAGGAAACCCCGCTGTTGCCTTCGTTCATCCCAAACGACTGACATAATTTTGCTGATCACTTCGTCTAAAATCGAAGCAATGTACTCAGTATCTCACACCTGATATTTCATTACTGGCTACAAATCGTACCTCACATCTCGTATGTCGGTTAGAGTCTTCAGCATAGTTTGAAGACGCATTGAATCGGATGCAGCGCTAAAGTCAATAGCTTAGTAATAATAAACCGGGTGATTCCGAGGTTGTACCATACTCCCAATTTAGGTTTAGTCAGTTCGACTATCTATCTTTAAGTTCTTTTGCATGACGGCACACAACATCACAAATTTAAGCTAGTTTAATATCATAAGCTTCGTATTTCTTATGGGATGATCCGCGTGTATATTTTATGACATAAGTTACTGACGTTTCGAACCATACTTTGGTCACTGTCAAGGTACATTGAAAAAGCAGATTTAATAAACGTCAAATTGTGGAGGTCAAATTTGAGTCCATAGGGAACCGATCAGGACTTAATGCTGTCAGCATTTTATTGATAGCTGATGATCAGGAATTGCTCAGCTCCATACCATTGCCATTGCGCTTTTAAAACCTATGTTGGCCTGAATGAACAGAGGTTGTTTCAGTCTCCTAAATTTAAAGTATCTGTTTTACACAAATTACGCCGATATGCTGCTAGTCTGTTTAATGCTTTTCGACGACACAGTGTTGCACAGCTGTAGAGTTATTTTCGTATTCTGCTTCGATCAGTTCCTTTGCCTCCTACCTCATACTTACTGCACATTGCTCAGTCTCTTAAAGTTGCGTCTTGAGTTCGCTTCATCCATCCTCAACAAAATTACTCGTTTCCTCGCCACTGTAGACCATGCAATCCCGTAAGAAACATGAAGATGTGGAAATTAATTTGCCTCATAAAATAATAATGCTCAGTTTGAAGTTTGTTTAGTTAAATAGTCATACAGAACAACAGTTTCTTGACTTCCGCCATAAAGTCACATGCCATCTGATTGTACAACAGTACTAAATTAATGGCTCAATGTTCTGTTGAAATTATGAAAACCTTAATGAATGGCTCGAAATTCAGAACCATCCGAACATTCCAGAAATTCGTCTTCTCTGCGTTTCCCTCCAACATTCCTATCGGTACGTCGCCGAAGTCGTCGTTTGCTTAATGATGATATTGGATCTAGGGTGGAGGAAATTTTTCAGCACACAAAATTTATGCGATGCCTCCATACCACTATCAAGTTGTGTCTTAAGGAATATTAAGCAAAAATGACCGTTATGTATCCATTTCCGGTTTCTGATAGTTAATTAAAGCACTTTGGCACTTTACAACTGTGATGGAATTAGCTTGGTACGGCTGCTGATTTCCTCACTGGTCAGATTCAAAGCATCCATGTTTTAAGTTAGTTGATTTCCAATAAATCATATGCACCAAGATTCGCTGCCAGTTCAGTGGTATTCGTAAGTGTCCATAACAAAGTTAATAAATTATTTCAGCAGAAAACCTGCAAATGTTTTTTGTAGAAGGTAGAAGAATACGAACGGCAGTACCAGCCGGACAGTTCGACGCCAACGACGTGGGTACAGTCCAAATGTAAGGAACAGGAGAAGCCGTGGAGCTCCAGCGAAAGTACTGTGGTCTTCGCACCATTAACCCTTCGGTCGTCATAACATAACCAGCAATGATTTTAAGCTCGGACGGCGACCAACCAGCTCGGCGGCATCTACGCTAACGGAAGACCCCTGCCGGCAACACTGAGGCGCAAAATAGTCGAGATGGCCATTAGCGGAGTCAAGCCATGTCGGATCTCCAAGGAGTTGCGCGTGTCCCACGGATGTGTCTCGAAAATTCTGTCCAAGTAAATTACGCCCCCCCCTCTCTGTTTGGGTAAAGCAGACGCTTACTAGATGATCTTGTTTTGCAGATGGCGAGAGACAGGCTCGATCAACCCCGGCAAAATCGGCGGATCCAAGCCGAAGAAGTCACTGCCCGAGGTCATTGCAGCTATCAACATCTACAAACGTCGACGTCCGTCCATGTTCTCATGGGAAATTCGCGAAAGGCTACTCGCCGACGGCATCTGCAACGAATACAACGTTCCCAGTATATCGTCCATTAATCGGTAAACGGACCAATGACCAGCAGTTCACTTCCTTACATGTTGCTTCATGTACAGTTTAGAATATATCACTTTACATTAATATAAAAAACCTTCCTTCAGACTTTATTCATTATTGAATGCGCCATTGACCGAGATTGAAGGTCATGCAATAATTCTTGAACATTTTCTGTCCAGTGGATTTCCGGCAGTTCATCCAGGGTGTCAGCCTTCGTGATTAATGGTCCATATTTTTATCCTTCATTACAGATAGGTAGATAGATGGACGAAGAGAGAGAGAACAAGCGACAGACAGATAGGCAGACAACTGGATAAATGGATAGACAGACAGATAAATAGAATAATAGATAAATAGGCAGATCGATAGAAACAATCGACAGGCAGATAAGCAAACAAACAGACAGACAGAGTTACCATAGTACCAAAACAGGATCATAGCATGAAATTGTTGAATCATACAAGGAATTAGATGCCATACTAAACTGGAGCAGGCAAAACTAGAATCGACCGAATAAATTGAATTAAAGGTTATACCAAGAAAAGCTTACCCAATTTACAGCACACCTGGATAAGTTCAAGAGTTCCATCCTGGTGTACGTACTGAGTCTATGGCTACCCGGAAGAGCTAATTTATTTTTCTCCAGTACTTGCCAAAACAATTCTGACTTCATCATCATCCGTCGCCGTTTCTCCTTTCGGGACGCGGAGGTAGACGTGTCAGACAGTGCTTCCAACGTTCCCGATCCTGTGCCAGAGTCTGAGCTTCGGCAAAAGACAAAT